CACCTCTCCCACAGCTCCTAGGATTCCTGCTCTCTGTTCAGGTTCCCCACCCCCACCTGCAACTCTACACTTTAAAGCCCCCAACGGCATCTGCTTTCCATCCTTCAGGAATTCGCTTTTCCTTTACCCCATGCCCTCGTGGAGTTCTCTTTATGCAAAAACTGCCTTTCCGGTTGTCTAAGGCTAGTGGAGCTAGAATAGAGAGAGAGAAAAAAAGCACTGATGTCGTCTGTTTTGACCCAATTTATAAGTAAGTTTTGTTGATTGCTTATCTTCTCAAGGATACTACCCTCCCAGCTGTAGAAGAATTTTACGCACTGTGTGTAAAATTTTCAAATGTACTTCAAATCAGCTTCACCTCTCTCCTATTCCCTTTGCCTCACCACACAATAGTAGTCCTCGTATTTCCTTTTCTTTTTTCTGTGTTCTTAAAGGAGCTTGCATCGCGTTTGCAAGGCAGGTTTTTCTTTTAAATTATCAGTAAAACAATTTTAGATATTTTGAGTAATTCAGAGCATATATATGTTGATAATGCTGAGAAGTAGTGAATAGCCTCAGAATTAACATACATTTTATTCAATCTTTTAAAAATACAAGCAAATATTACCCATAAGGTGTATTTTTTTTATCCTGTAGCACAGCTCCTGTACTCTTGTACCCTACTCCTCTTATGCTAAGAATTTTGTAGACAAAAATTCTTAGGGTACACACACACACACACACACACACACACACAATATCCACATGTATATTATGACAAAAAAGTTTCAATCACTCTACGTGAAGGAAAGTTCTTCATACTGTGTGAAAAAAATAATAATTCCTCTCAGTAGCCTAAACTTGAGATTTCCAGCAGATAGTTCTTGCTTTGATTGGCCCAAATACATGTTGCCTAATTGATAAATATACTGGGTTTGTACCATAGTTCAGCAAGTAAAGGACCTTGCCATCGAGTCCAGCAAGCTGACTTGGATTCTAAAGACCCAGATGATGGAAGGAGAGAACTGATTCCCAGAAGCTCTCCTCTGCCCTTCACACAAGTGCCCCTACACAATAAACAAAGGAATGAATGGATTAAATAAATAAATAAATTTTAATAAAAATTGTAAAAGAATGACTGCTGTACAGTTTTAAAAACTAACACTGTATTTAGTATTATCTAGCTAACATAGATTTCTCTTACTACACAAATCTTTGATGAATATTAAAGGAAATGTTTACTTATTATTAGACTTGCCACTGCTAGGCAAGCCTAAAAGAGAATCACAAAGATCCTTAATTTTTTTTTTTTGTATTTTTGTCTTTTTGAAAGAAGGGTTTCTCTGTATAGCCCTGGCTGTCCTGGAACTCACTCTGTAGACCAGGCTGGCTCCAAATTAACAGAGAACCTCCTATTTCTGCCTCCGGAGTATCAGGATTAAGGGCGTGCACTACTAGAGCCAGCCAATTTCTTAAATTATAAATGCAAGTTTTATATCATACTTATCTTTTGAAACTTGCTTTTTCATCCAATATTTTGTTCTAAATTTTTTTATCTTTCACATTTTTTTATTCAAAGTCTACTGTACAGTGTACATATCTAAGTGGTTTTTTGTTTCTGTTTTTGAGCTGTGAAATAACACATTCAAACATCTACTCGGATGCTGAGCATTTTGTCTGACTTCCATATTACATCCTAACCTTCACAAAATTGATATAATTAATATATTTGTGTACTTTTACCTGTGTTTTGTAGAATAAATCCCGGAAGAACAAACACTGACTATCCACATTTCAGACTTTCTAAATTAATTCTTAAAGATACTCAAGAGAAATGTTCCTAAGTTGCTGGATGAATTAACCACACCACATTACACACTCAGGAATAAATGTCTACTCTGTTCCCCACATCATAGTGAACTTTTGACAGTTTTAACAATTTTAGTATTCACCAAATTGGTGAGTATGAAATGGTAGTTGAGCAATCCCAATTTTTAGAGCAAAAACCTCATCTCTAGCAATCCCAACAGGCTAGGCTTCCCTACCTGTCCCCAACATATGAATTAAAGAAACAAGAGTGAAAAGCACAAAAAAAGAGGTTTATTCAATGTAGCCACATCAGGGGGAACAGACAACATGGTCCAGTGATCCCAAGTCAATTTTGGCTTTAAATAAAGGATTGGTCAGAGGACAAGAGACATACATAATTATGCAGTCCTGGTCAAAGTGTGGTCTGGTTGATCATTGTCTCAGTTCTGGCTCTACAAGTTTCTTTGTTTTTTTTCCCCAAAACAAAGTTTCTCTGTGTAACTGTCCTGGCTGTCCTAGAACTCTCTCTGTAGACCAGGCTGGCCTCAAAATCACAGAGTTCTGCCTGCCTCTACAAGTTCTTCATTATTTGAGATCAATCTAGTACTTAAAATCATTCTTTCTGCTTCAGGGATGCAGGGCCTCTGCATCACGGATAACTACCCTCACTTGCCTGGGAAGACTCCTTCTGTCTTGCGAGGGGTTCTTATTGTTGTTGTTTTTCCTAGAGTCCATCGTGACAGAAGAGGAAATGTTAAGGGCATTATACTTTGTACATTAAGTAACAGACAGACACAGAATGTACGAATGGATGCCAAGTTTTCATAGTGTTTCCAGGTATTCTGTGAGTCCAAATGAGAAGTCAACAGCTTTTATCAAAACAGTTTCTAAATGCCTGTTTCATTCATTAATTTCACTTTCTAAGTGTTAGTGAGTTTAAATTTATTCTCCTGTTTTGTTTGGGCATACAGTGCTCCAATTACATATTATAGTTTCATATTTTTGCAGTTTCTTTTCTATTCACATATATTTTCATATAATCATCCCTAAAGTTGGCAGCTTTCATATGTTGATGTACCTGAAATCATATTTTAAATTGCATATCAAATGTTGACGTCCTTTGCAAACTTAGTTTCTTACAATATTACCACAAAATGTAAGCATTGTCAATTACAATTTTTAAAGCCAATAATTGTTATAATTATTCTGAGTTTGCTATCTAGCTTTCTCTACTTTAGACTGGTAGGAAATATATAATGCATATGGATTGAGTGCAGTAAATTTGAACTTTACCTTTACCTCATTCACCAGCAAGAAAGTAAAAACCCAACTCACTAAACTATTATAATCTATAAATTCTATGATATGTATATTTTCAAAGATGTTAAAAGAACAGAAATCTTCAGAAAAGTAAAAAGCAGAACAAGTCGGGCAGTGGTGGTGCACACCTTTGATCCCAGTGCTCAAAAAGCAGAGGGAGGAGGATCTCTGTGAGTTGGAGACCAGCCTGGTCTACACAGTGAGTTCCAGGACAGCCAGGGCTGTTTCACAGAGAAACACACACACACACACACACACACACACACACACACACACCCACCCCTCGGTACTAGAGCAACCTAGTATTCACATGCTTTTTTTGAGATAGGGTTTCTCTGTGAAACAGCCCTGGCTGTCCTGGATCTAGCTCTTGTAGACCAGGCTGGCCTTGAACTCACAGAGAATCCTCCTGCTTCTGCCTCCCAAGTGCTAGGCTTAAAGGTATGTGCCAGCACCGCCCGGCCTCTGGTGCTGAGTTTTACATTATATAAAGGACTGGAATTGGAATTGAATACATCTTTGATTCCCCAAACAAAAAACATCTCTCTATACTTCTTGGATCAAGTGAAAGATGATGTTAGCTGTTTTGTTTTTTTTTTTTAATATGGTGTTCTTAATGTATTCCTCCTTCCCCCTCTCCTTTTCTTTCTTTCTTTCTTTCTTTCTTTCTTTCTTTCTTTCTTTGTTTCTTTCTTTCTTTGTATTAAGTCCAGATTCTGTGGTCTCTTGCCTGGCCTACTTAGGTTTTAT